ATATATATATATATATATATATATATAATAAAACACACTTAGATCGGGATAAAAATCTGTCGCCGGAAAAAAATAATTCGCCGGAAAAAATGGTATTTGAAAAATTCCGACGACCACTATTTTATGCCGCCGGTGACCAAAACAAAAAGAAAGAGAATGAAATAACAAAATAAAAATGAGAATAATAGGAAATAAGAAAAAAGGATAAGAAAAAGAAGAAAGAATAAAAAAAGTACTAAAAATACATGTGGGGGCGCGTGTAGCTCACCACTTGCCAAGAGTTTTTTTGTCAGCATTAAGGGTGCAAATAATTACATTTAAAATAAGTTTAGGGGGGTAATAGGATTCTCGCAAAGAAAAAGTGTGTAGTTGGGAATTCGGGTATAGGTCAGGAGGATACTTATGCATTTTTCCAATATTTATTGAAAAATGAGTGTTTATTACGGATAATTTATTATGGTTCAAAATAATATTATCGATATGGTAACTTCATGTGCATGACAAAAAGTATAACTAGCTATAGAAGTTTATTGTCTCTATGAATTTGTGGTATATTTATTTGTCATAATAAATAGTTGTAAATATTAATATAACTATTCCCACGTTTTTTAATAACTTGAATAAAAATAATTCTTTTAGATTTAACATTTTTTGTAAATTATTTATTGTGACTAAAATATTACTACAGTAACTTCAAATGCGTGACAAAAACTTATATTTAGCTATGAATTTTATTATTAAAAAAATTGTACTTGTTAAATCAGCAATTACTACAAATTTTTTATAACTTGAAGCAAAAATATTTATTTAGCAATAATATTATATTTCAAGTAACTTTTTGTCGCTAAAAGATTAGTATTGCTATAATAACTTTATACACGTGGCAAAAACTAATTTTTAACTATAAAATTAGATTGTATCAATAAACTAGTGAATTTGCCGCATTTCGCGCAATTATAAAATTTATTAGTGAAATTTTTCTAAACAATACATATTTGGGTTAATTTATGTGTTAATTCATAACTTTGATTTTGTTAGAAGTTAGAACATATACTTCTATACAATTTATACCTCTGAAGCATTTTAAGATTTATCTATGTATGAAAAATTCAAAAGAGTATTAAAATAAAATAAAAAAACTCAATTTAATACTCGTTGAAGTTACAGAAAATTCATCTTAAGACTACTAATGAAACAAATAGATAAAGTATTATTGATCCTATATTAGAAGACCAGATTTATAAAGATGACGTACAAACTTTCTTATAGCAACAAAGAATCGCACGAAAAGAGTAACGTCAACAAAATAAAAAATTTGTTATTGAAGTCTTGTTCTTGGAAGGTAGATACTTGGTATTTTAAATAAACAAAAGCAAAACACTATATAATAGAACAAAGCTCCATCTACGCTGAACCTCCATCTCTGTTTCCACCTCTCTCTTTCCAACGCAAAGGATAAGCACGATTCTTATTCCCTCATTGCCAAGCTTATCTAGTTCTTTTATGTATAAAAGATATGAACTTCTATCTTCTTTCTGTAAGAAATAGACAAATGCTGGCTTTCTTTCAATAATTAGCAAACTGAATTCTGCCAAAGATGTCATTGTTGAAAGATTTTGGTACATCACAAACACAAGTTATTAGACTATGATATACCTCAATGAATAAACGTAACAGGTTGAAAACTAATCACAAGCCAACAAATTGTAGTTGATCCTTAGAAATCAGGTGATTCCTAGCTATTCTCAAACTCAACCCCTTTAGCAAAGGGGTTCCCACACAATTGCTGCCAACTTCATTTGTTCTAGTATTAGCCTCTAAATGTAGTCATTGAAAGTGATGAAAGCTAAAATGTCAAGTTGAAAAGAACAATAACTACTCTATATTGAGCGGCTATAGACCACATGAAGAATAAACTTGAGAATGAAAACAGCATAGAGAAAAAGAATAGATATTTGATTTTCTACTTCTCTTCGGTCGATGCAATTCTCAAAACTCTGTTGCCTGGAGGTAGAGTAATAACTATGACTTCAATTTCACATAATACTAACAAATAATGACTTAAATTTCATAGAGAAACAACTTCTCTATGGCGATTTGAAAAAAAAAAAAAGAGTACTAAAAAACAGAGGATGAAGAGAAAGACAAGTATGGTCAAATCCTGTATGATAAAAGATAAGAAGGCATCTTCAAATTTGTAGGAAAAGCAAGTTGTTGGTTCTAATTTGCCAAATATTGGTATTGTATCTTTTGCAAGAGTAAGTGCATGTAGTTTATATCATCTCTCCATTGAGTGTTCTCTTCACAAGCTTCATTCTCTCAATTTTAACAGCATCACAATAGATCAACTGTTGTCCTCGTTAGATTGATATTTTCGCATCATGGTGGGCAATTATAGTTGGTTGATTGAGAAAGCTAAAAGGTTAAAATGGGGTGTGAAGAGAAGCTATTAGTTTTGCAACTTTAATTGTCACCTTTATGTTAAGTTTTAACCATAAAAATTGATCACCGTTTAAGCTACCTTTATGCTTTATTTAAATGTCAAACCCCCCAAAAAGGCAGAAACAACATGATCTAAGGAAGAGAAAGAACAATTCGATAAAAAGGCAAGAATATGACAAAAAAAAAATTAAAAAAGATTTCCTAAGCATTGTAATGTTGCTGCAAATAAGTCATTTTCTGATTACTAAAATATTACTTTGTATATTAAATGCATTAGCCGCTCGTAAATCAGAACTTCAAGGGATGGACTCGACCGAATGGCCAACCACTTAATATTTTTGTAGGAGATGAAATCCAAAAGGAGAAGGAAATAATAACATGGCAAATATAGTAATACTAATATACAAGAATTCGGTATAATCAAAATAAAATATGAATTAACAGGAAGTTAAAAATCTAATAATCGAAACTCCATATGATTAAACTATAATGAACATTTAGAGACACTGTATAATTGAATGATCACAATTATTCAAGGCCGTTTGTTTCGTTTTTCTCTACAGCTATACAAGAGTGTAAAAGAATTACCGACCTGCATTTGTTGAGTGGTTTGTCCTGCAGTTGTGGAAATTATACCTCTCTATAGGGTTTTTTGTCGAACACTTCATCGGCGTCAACATAACATGCCCTGCTCATTTGATTTTTTCACATAATAAACTTGGTAAGTACTTGCAATAAGCAACAGTTAAAAAATTTGTGAAATATTCTAAAAGTTAACAACGACAACTACAAAAAAAAAAATCAAGTATATTCATTTAATAACAAAAGGACAAAATCTTAAAATATTGAAATTGGGAATAGATAATAGTAGAGATACCTTCATCTTGCAGGTAGAATGCAGAGAAAACAAACTAAACATGAAAGAGAATAACTATGTTCCAAAACGATAAAGATGAGATTTACCTTGAGAATTGAGAGAAACAACTTTGTGACGATTGGAAAAACAGAATAAGTAATAAAACATAGAGGATTGAAAAGAAAGCAAGTATGGTAATTAAGAGAGCAAGAGTGAGTTACTGTTACGAAAGGAATTTAAGGAGAAGCAATTGTTGGGGTTTTTGCCGTGACTGTAACCGATAGAATTTACATAAATACGGGACTGTGTATTTATCAGTAGGAAACTATTCTTTTCTTTATTTAAAAAAGCAAAGCTCTAAGAAAAGAGATAAATAGAAACCCTGGCATTTGAGAGATGCCACGTCAGATTTGTATTGCCCTGCTTTATATAATTATATAGAATTGTAGCTATTAAGTAACTTATTGCCACATATTTAAATAACTTGAAGCAAAAAGATCCATTTAGCTATAGCATTTTGTTTCAAGTACTTTTTGTGGCTATAAGGTTACTATTGCTACAGTAATTTTAAACTCGAGGCAAAAACTTATTATTAGCTATAAAATTGGATTGTATCGATAAATTTGTAGCTATTAAGTCACTTATTACCACATATTTTAATAACTTGAAGCAAAAAGATTCATTTAGCTATAACATTTTGTTTCAAGAACTTTTTTGTGGCTATACGATTACTATTGCTGCAATAACTTTAAACGTGTGGCAAAAATATACAATTAGCTACAAAGTTTTGTTGTAGCAATAAATTTGTAGCTATTTGAATAGTTATTACTACGATAGTTTGCAACTATAGCAAAAATAAAGAATTAGCAATGCCAATTTAATTTTGTAGCTAATAAATTTTACGAAATTATAAATAGCTATAAAATTTTAATTTTTGTAGCAATTTTAAGGTATTAGCCACGACTTTCATATTTGTAGCCGAGAATTTGTAGCTATAGGTGAATAATGTTGTAGTGTTTATAGTCCTTCCATTCATGATATCAGCATATCTCGCTAGACATGGACTTCGCTATACATTTATAGACTTAGAAAATTTTGGGTTCAATGGGTACTTATTAAAACATCAGGTGATGATTAACTATGCATAAAATCTCCCGACTTATGACCATATTACCAATTATATATTTTTTCTTTTCGTGTATTCTATTACCCCCTTAACTATTTTAAAGTGTAATAAACACCACCTTAAGTGCTGACATGGCATAGAGAGTGTGCACACTCTCTTAAGGGAAAGTGGATATTACAAAAATAATTTTAAAATTGATTAACGGGTACAAGTGTCATATTTTGATTGGACATTAAACAATTAATTACATATAATTAATTAGTCTCATACATTAGGTAGGAAGGTGAGAAGTTCTTGGAGGGAAGGATGCCGGGGGTCTATTTGGAAACAGCCTCTCTACCCCAGGGTAGGGATAAGGTCTGCGTACACACTACCCTCCCCAGATCCCACTAAGTGAGATTATACTGGGTTGTTGTTGTTGTTGCATCATGTTCACATTATCCTTATCTGTGAGCTAGGAATTAGGATTAAAGGGGTGATCCGTGTATTCAGAACGTTCAAACATATATTGTCCACTTGCTCTTTTTATTTATTTATTTATTTATAAAGTTACTAATAGCACATTATCTTTATCTCTTTTCTTATGATATATATAAACAGCACTAAGAACATAAATAAGCATACTTTTCTGGAATGGAGATACACACCAACGCGGTTTCAAAGACAATGAAAAGAAATTACAAGGTGCCGAATAAAGTAATAAAAACTTTTCCTCTTAAGAAAATATTTCTATGAACATAGATAAAAGAACAATAATTAAGAAACTTCTCATCTAAAGTTATTTAAAGAGATGTAATGTGAAAGGATTACGTTTTAAATTGTTTCCTGAAATAAAAATATAATGTCAATTGGCTTGCATAGCATCTTTTTTCTTAATAAAGATGCGGAGCTAGCTCTTCATAATTAAATTTACACCTTACCAAAGGAAATTAATTGATCATTGATCTAAGAGAATTCTATTATATTCATTTTAGTTAAATATAATTAATTTTCTTTTAAGTGAGATATTTCTTTTTGGAGAATAATGAAAGTACAAGTAACCCATCTTAAATGAAGTGAAGAAAATAACGGCAGGTTTTACCTTATTATATAATATAATATTTGCTTGGAGTACGAATATCTTATATATAAATTAGTAGTTGGTTTAATTGTTAAGTTTCTTTCATCTAATGAATTTTTGAAAGTGACATGCTTTTGGACTGTGGAGCAAGTTATAATTATTTTTGACGATAGAAAATGTGGTAATAATCAATTAGAAAAGTAGAAAATAGTACGATAACATCAACCCTTAAGGACAAAGGTTAGTTTTCTTTTCGATCTGCTCCTACAAAGAATATAAAATAAATTTTCAAAAAAAAAAAAGGTAAGAAAAAAATTTATATTATATAGTAATTAATAAACGAAACCACAAAGAAAATCTCAGAAAATAACTAGAATGGTGGCTGATATGTAAGGTAGTAATTAACCATTCATTTTACAAGGGTCCTTTTCTACTAACTAATAATTGCAATGTGAAGTTGTAAATACTGTACTGCAACTATTACTAGAAATTAAATTAGACATTTTATGTGGACTTTAATAGCTGCAAAAGTCACCATTGAAAAATGTCATGTATTATAGCGAACTCTGTTATAAATATATTATATTATGGATGTTCATTTAGTACTCCGTTGTAAATAAGCTTCCTGAAGAAGCTTATCCATATGGGACTCCACCGTAAATATGTTTATCTATTTAAGTACTCTATTGGAAATAAGCTTCCTGAAGAAGCTTATCACTTTGATACCCGGTTATGGATAAACATTACCCCCGGTAGAAGATTATCCATACCGGGTATAATAAGCTTATCCTTTCAGTACCTAGCTATGGATAAATATTATCCTCCATAGAAGATTATCCATACCGGGTATAATAAGCTTATCCTTTCAGTACCTAGTTATGGATAAACATTACCCCCGGTAGAAGATTATCCATACCGGGTATAATAAGCTTATCCTTTCAGTACCTAGTTATGGATAAACATTACCCCCAGTAGAAGATTATCCATATCGGGTATAATAAGTTTATCCTTTCAGTACTCCGTTATGGATATACATTGCTCTCAGTAGAAGATTATCCATATCTGGTATAGTAGCAGCTTACACAACAGCTTCCT